CCCTTCGTCTTTCATCCTTGGGCTTAGGGGGGCAGTGTACCAGTAGGCACCCACATTTGACCTGGTCAAAGGCCGAGTACACCAAAACCGAAAGAAGACCCCTTCAGCCCTAGACCAAGCTGAATACCCCCTTCGGCCCCAGACCTAGCCGAATACCCTCTCGGTTCAAGACCAAGCCGAATACCCCTTTCGGCCCCAGACCAAGCCGAACACCCCTTTCAGCCCTAGACCCAGACGAATACCCACTTCGGCCCTAGACCTAGCCGAATACCCTCTCGGCTCCAGACCAAGCCGAGTGCCCTCTCGGTCCCAGACCAAACCGGATACTCCCTCGGTTCCAGGCCAGGCCGGACACCTCCTCGGTCCCAGATCAGGCCGAATACCCCTTTGGCCCTAGGCCAGGCCGAATACCTTGTCGGCCTTAGGCTTGACCCAAAGACTTAAGGCAAGGAGAACTCACATAAAACACGTGGCAAATTAGATACCCATTATGCAACAATTACCATGCCTGATTAAGAGAAGATTAAGGTTAAGTAAAATGTTACCCATCTCCCAAGATAGAAGGCCCACCAGGCCCAAACATGTCACTATAAATACACAGGTGATGGGACATAAATGAGGTATGATTTATTCCATATAAAAGCATTTATTACTCTATACCGAATACTCACTTGATCGTCGGAGTGCCTTTGCAGGTACCCTCCCCACCCCTCGGAGACAGTATTCGATCGGCACTAAAGACTTAGAAGACCAAGAAGGAAGAACGACAAGAGGAGTGTTTCTACGCAAGAACACTAGAAGAATCACTTGAACCAAGGAAAGAATCCCGGAGATACTTAATACTTCCACAATAAAGAGACCAAGTCTTTTCCCCGTACTTGATAATCCCAACAATTAGCATGGGAATGGTAAGATGTGAAAGCCAATTACCTTGCCAAGACAAAATAACTACATAGACAGTGAGGGTTGTTTGAGACAACAAACCAACAAAATGCCTTAGCCATAACTCATTGTCTTCTAAGGAATAAGTTGTGATTGTATCAGGACCACCATGGTGAATCAGAAAAAAGTAGCCCAAAATGCAAGAAGTTGAGGATCAACATTCCTTGGTTGTTCACCTTTGCTGTAAATGTCTCCTTGATTACTATTATTGTGTTTTGAAAAAAGATTAATGTTTTATTTTGTCATCATTTCCACATTGGATTATAATTTGTGAAATATGAATGTGAACTCTCTATCTATATGTTTTGGAACCTTATTTCGATTAAGAAAGTTTTATATACTCAGAAAATGTAATTTATATTTATTGTGTAATATGTATGTGGGGCAGAGGATATCACAACACTCTCTAGTCCACATACTTATATTCATAAATATTAATAAAACAAAAGAGTCTCACCTAAATAATTTATATATATATATATATA